GAATATCTCAAGGTGTGAGAACCTGCAAGCCGTATCGCACTGAATATGCTATGCGGATGATTACACCAAGGGATTAGGGAAATGTAACATCGCACGATTCCTAGACAGATACAGATTAAGAAAATTGGATCAAACGAGCTTCTGCGAAACAAAACGAAGAAACTGGTAGCGACTTTCGTCATTGCTTGATTGATGATAAAGCACTACCAATCGCTATAACGTACATACTACATACGTGCTTATTTGCCCAGATCATCAAGATTGAAATTGGAATTACTAAAATCATTCCATTAAAACGGTTGTTGTGACAGACAACGACTGAAATAGTGAACGTTTGTTGTACCACAATGTCCAAAAAACATACCGTTCTCCACTGGTCGGCGATGATTCACCTAGATCAATGCAACTACGACGTTTCTCAAAAGCGTCCATAACTTCACGCAGCAGGTCCTGGGGATGGGAGGGGGGAGGAGAGTAAACCAGTGCACCATTTTGAACTGCGATTATCACAAGAGTGACGATTACAAAATAGAGCAAAGGTGGTTGGCTGTTTGTGGAGGGCAGTGATGTAGTTGCGCATAACAGGTATTATTGAATTGATGGAATTCTTCAATTGTGATATAAAGCAACGTAGATTTGAAACAAAAAATTGAAATAAGGAGGAGCGGACGGAAGGTCTACCTTACACCGAGAACGTCTTAAGATTTCGCCAATTACTATTCGAAATGTGCTTTTATGGCGTGAAAATACCGCACAAGCACGCTGATCTCGCATATACGGACGAATCAGCGATATATGTATAACTTAAACATATAGTGGTTTGAATCGGATTAAATTGGCCTGCTGACGATGTTATGAATGAAAACTTTGCGAGCATCGAAGAGAATAAGCAAGCATTATGGCTCCCACAAAACCTACTGCATACTTAGGACAGACGTGATAACCCGAAAGGACCGTATTAGAAGGTAACAAGAGACAAGAGCCCTAACTAACCCCGAAATGAAGTGCACGTTTATGATAATGGACTGAAGAATGATCACGAGAAAAAAAACGTGACGAAATCCAAGTAAGCATGCAAGACAAAAATGAAGAGTGGAAACGTTTCGCTCGAAAGCTAAAGCAGATAAAAAACACAGGGTGATCGCGAGAGGAAAACTAGTGTATTTAATGGCACACACCTACCTCAGTGCTACCGTGAAGCAGCTGATCGGCTAACGGTCGATTTTCACTGGGCTGTGATGGCACTGTTATCTCAACGTCTCCACCAACTTTGGTTGGCGCCGATGCATTCGGTGAACGAGAAGAAGCGATTCGTACCACAGGTGGAGGTGGCGGTGCAGGTCGCAGGGGCTTTGTAACGGAAGGACTTCGTCTTGGACCGTTTGCGTCGACATTGGATACGGCTAATGAACCTAGGGCTGTTGATTCTCGGTCTAATGAATGAACACGAGCGCTTTTGGGTGGTAAGGCTGGTGGAGTGGGTGCCTTGGTAACTGTGCTGGGAGACGGACTGCTGGAAACGTCGTTAGATCCTGAGGTGAAATCCGCACGTTCAATGATGATTCCGCGTGGTTTCGCGTCGGAAACCATACTCGAAAATTCCGGTGAGGATTGCGAACCAACTGGACCCTAATGAGTGAAGACGAGAGTTAAGGAGAACCACCCAACCAAACATATGTAACAATCGATGACGGAGGACTTTGAAGAACAATAGATCCCATCCACAACTGCAAAAGAAGCATTCAAGATAGCACAGGGTATTTGTTCTGAACTTATATGGGTGAAGTGGTGGCAGACGGATTCAGATAGCATACTTTGAATCCAAACAACCATGTACACATGCCCCTATGCATAAAACAAATTAACAACACCGGGCTTATGTTTTGATTTTTCAAAAATGAGACCTCAACGCCAAATGCTACTCAGAGTGGAGATATATAAGTTTCAGCCCAGGAAACTGGAGTCTATATAAGGTGTCGGTGACTTTTTCAAATTCACCAGTTCATATCAATCAACTTCTTTTGTCCAATGGCACACACTAAAAACAATAAGGCGTCAGTAGAAAAACAGGTTGGAGTAGGGACGGGTTGAAGTGCACAACAGGTACAACGACTGCAGATCGGTCGCGAAACGCGATTCAGTTGCAAGTGAAGGAAGGAGTCGTTCAAAGCAACAGGCAAGGTAGCATATGTCGACATCTGGCACGTAAAGTCCTACGGACTTCCTACAGATTAATCAGGACAAAATGTAATCGATACGGGTACACGTGAACTTAGTGGGATTCCGAAGTAAAAAGGAACGAGACCAGTCACGAGAATCGATTCGTTGTCAGCGACCGCTGGTTACTAATTTGCAAATAATCCACAAAAAACAAAGTGATTAGATCGGTTGAAATACGCAGATAAGGTGCTTTCATTTGCCTGACAAATTTTGGAATGAAGTAATCAGCGACGAAGTCAGAATGAGTTTAAATCTACCAAAACCTGTTCCGTGTAAAACTAGATAACCGAAATCAGTTTACCTATGTGCGAGTTACTGTTGTCAAATTAATGAACTGTGGTCAGCGGTTGGTTACGCATGGTTGGAGCAGCATTAGAAGGCGAAGAACCGCCGTCTTATTGAGTGTTGGGCGCAACTGTCCCTGGTTTGTTGTTATGCCATATAGGAAACGAGACAGTCGGATGATTGCAGTTGGGCAGGATACCACAGTAACCAGTCTAAAGTAAGCATCATTCTAAGCAGGTTAGGCTATCGCGTTCAAATATATATATATATATATATATATATATATAACCATTGGTGAATGTTGCCTTGAAGGAGTAGGAAGATGTAACAAAAGAGATACCCGGTAAGGGCATACAAAGCGAAGGAGACTGGCCTATCGCGAAAAATTGCAAATGTGAAGCAGGCAGCTATACTAGATGTGCAGTAACGAGTTAAAAAAATACATCGATTATAGGAGGATAAACAACTGAATGAGATTAGCGCTGAAGATATATGCAAAGCAACGGTTACTCGCCAAACAGCAATCGGAAAACAAATACGAACGGAAGGATACTGCTAAAATATTGTGCGCATGTAAAAATAACAAACACGAATAGGCTGCCGAATGAACAATAAGGCACTGAATCAGGTAGTTGTTGAGTGACAAGTCATACAGGAGACACGTACCGGAGGTAATTCATTGTGGGTAGGAACGCCTGGTTGCGGCTTTGCATTTGCGTCGTTTGATAAAACGACTTGTTTTGTGGACACAAATTGAAGCACTGGTTGACCTGGGTACATGTGATTAACCGGAATGGCAATCGGTGAACGGGAATGGGTATCTTCAACTTTGGCCGCAAGTGCATGTGGCTGACCATTTTGTGGCAAGGGTGCGAACCCGCGCGGTTGACTCTCGGGGACAGGCGGTGCAGGTGGTTGTAGTTGTGGTGCTTGTTGGTGTTGCATTTTGGAACGCTTTTCTAACTGACGTTTGAAGTCAAGCAATCGTTGAGTGAGCAGCGTGGACAAATCTGGATTAGTCANGATTAGTCACGAAGATATGCTACAGAAGGGGGGAAGATAAAATTCACTGATGAAGTATACCTCAGATAAGAACTGAGGGCTAGCGACCTGACACCTGACTTTTGATGTAGATAGTATCGTAGTACGGTGATGCAAGAATCCGAAGAACCTAGTAATACCTAGGGTCCGAAGAGAACGGACAAATTCTGTCTCCAGTTTATAAAACAATTATCAAACTGAAAAAAGATTAAAACAGAGATAATAGAAGCCTATGTGCCACTTTCTTGTTCGAATACTAAGTCACATTGAAGATAATGGAGTTGATAAGAAGCATTTTTTATTATTTTTTATTTTATTTTATTATTAAGTCGATCTTTCATCTATCAACTGATTTCTTCTTGTTCCCTCGTTCGTGCATTACAAAATGGAAATAGACAAAATGAACAGTTCCTGTGACTGAATCTCAGATATTTCTGCCAGTGTTGAGAACCATATGCAGTTTCTCCTGAAAAACCGGACGATCGGGGCCAGAACAGAATAGTTTTACATACGTAGCGAGCTTTAAGCCCATTTTCCAGATGACATTTGTCTCCGTCATGGTGTAAATATAGAGTTTATTGGACTGCCTTTAGATAGTTTGATTTCAAGCTACTTCTTCTAATGACGTTCAAGTAGCATAATTCGAATTTGAACAGGAAAAGCCTAAGCCATCTCCGAAAACACGGGTTTATAAATAACGGGTAGAGGTAAGCTAACTGATTGTTTTCAAAAAGGAGGTACAAACAATAATTGCAGTAGCACATCCCGACAACTGTATACAATCGCATAACAACAGCTATGTCTACTGACAGCTGAGGTGAACTGGAGCAGCAAAATTCCTCGTTTTAAACCGGTTACAGACAAGACTCATTGAACAGCGAAAAACCATACAAAAGAGCAGGCCTTATAACTTGTCATGGGAAAAACAGTACGATGGAGAAAGGATCAAAAAACAGAATTACTGTGAGCATGGTGGCTGCATCGGGTCTTCGGCGTTCGTTTTTCACTAGACAGCATTTGACAAAGGAGTGGAACCGTTGTGACCTAGAACAAAGCAGACAGATACATGCATTATTACTACTTGTTGCACAATATTGCTAGAGCGTGTGTATTCGGACGAGCTGGGTATTTTGCATTTCAACAGTACAATTAATGTAAATTAGCGGACGGCAGTTGTCCGAGTTGAACAATCGGTAGGATAAAATCAGATAGTTCAGAAAAGTTCATTACGAGGTGACATGTTGGAGTTATCAAGAACGATAGTAGAGCTCTCATAAGCCGACGGAAAAACCTCAGAACTCATTCGGGAGTGACTTTATTAAGGTGAAAAGAAAAAAGCAAAACGGAAATGAACGACCAATCAACTGACGGTGATTCAACTTTAATATCATTGACACAAACAATTTGACAGAACCGTCGAATAGAAGCTCGAATATGCTTCCGTAGAGATTCAATAAATGGAAACTTCTCATCTTCACGGAAGCTGAGAATAAGACCACTGCATTTGGTTCAGCACAAAGTCTAGATGATCTTCAAAAGCTGGACAGAAGTCGGTCAAGTTCATCTCCAGAACGCCAACTACAAGCGCATACGACAGCTCAAATAAGCTAGGCTGTGTGCACTGTTTACGACTATGAATTATTCTATTTTGTTCCCAGTGGTAGACAATCTTCGCGTTTTAATTGGTACCTTGGGTATACCCAGGAGCAATCGGGCAAAGCAACCTGCGGACAGTGAAGCTTTGCGGTAGCAGGCACATCACTAAGTAGTGAAAAGCACGAAGATCACATATTTTAACTGTGAACACGCGAATATGGCTTCACTGGATTAACATCAAGTTACAAATAACCGCGGAGGGCACTGAAAACTAGAAGAATCTAAGCCACAATCAAATGTAATTACCATCTTCCTATCACATATGGGAGTACCTGGCTGTGCAAAGGCTAAGTACTTTACTTTAGTGCGGCTGGCTCCTTGGAAAGGATAAGCCGGCTCCAGACATGATCGTGAAGTTCCTTAGGAGTTTCGTACGAGAGACGTCCCCAGCATCACTGGGCGTTTTTTTATTTTGAGGGCGCAACTCCATCCCTTGCACAACCAAGTGCGAACTGCAAGGAGGCAGGAAGTAATCCCTCGCCTCGGAAGTGAGGGGGTCAATGGCTTTAGTTTTAGAAGACGAGTAACATCGATCTTTTTCACGACACCGTCACTGGGCTTATGCGGCTTTTAAACAGGAGCCAGGTGACCAGCCTGAAACCCACCACATCCTGGTAGTGCTGCCGATGTTTGTTCGCGACTGCTTCTTTTTTTATTACACACTTTCGTGTGACGAACAGCAGACGGGGTAAACTCCATAGTCACGAGGACCTGCTGTTCAGTGATGATAACCGGCAATCTGATCCCCAGGATTTTGAGTGGCGAACCACATAAGGCCCCGCTAGGTCAGGCGTGGTATAGAACCGGACGACAGCAAAGCTGCCTACCACCAAAGTTGGGTAACGGTGGCGGGGCTCGAAAGTCCAAAGCACGCCAGTGACAGCGACAACTTATTCACAGCTAACCTTCTTCGGTTAAGGCATCCGCGTATCCACAACCGGGAGACGCTACTGGTATCATTCAGCTCTGCTTAACCCGAGGTTAAGGTGGCATTATCGAAGAAAACGGCCCGGGTGACACTGGGTATCGCTTTGTACTGTTTTACCCAAGAGGTATCAAAGATTCACCTGCGAAACTGAGGAATTTTCATGAGACTGCTTGGGGATCAATGAAAAACGATTGTGTCTCCACGACAAAGACATGATGATTTCAACAATTATCGCGATAAGGATCAATGTGCTGAGGAGTTCACTTGGTTTCACTTATTATGCCAGACTGCACATCAAAACCGCAATTTATCTGTGTATACAGGCACCTAAAAGCATACCAGCTTGATAACAAATGACAACAAGAACGTCACTACTGTTCGTTCACTAGATATGGAATGGGCAACGGGAGAAAAGCTGTGCGGTTTAGAGTACGCCGATGACATCGTATGCCTGTTCAAAGCTATGGAGGATGCGCGCTGCGCTCCTGACAGACTAGTATCTCCTTTCGGCATGCGCTTTGTACCTTCAAAGTGCAAAGTGATGCTACAAGACTGGGTGTCGTCTACCCCGCCACTAATGCTTGATGGGCTACAATTGCCGTGGTGGAATGTTTCTCGTACTTAGGTAGCTGCGTTTCAAATGACGATAGCATAGTCAATCAAGTAACCGCCTACATTTCCAAGGTTCGAACAGCCTACGCAGGATTGAAACACCCTTGGTGCAAACGCGATGTCTCGTTGAAACTGAAAGGTATACTGCGCCAGTGTGCGGTCAATTCTGCTCTATGGTTGCGAGACCCTGAATTTGCGCGTGGAAGATATTCGCCATCTTGAAGTGTTCGACTGCAGATGTTTACGTAGTTTGACACGGGTTGGATGGAGCGAGCTTGTAAGCAACTCGGTGAGGAGTCGCGTACTTGGTAATGATTCGATGGAGATTTCCTTGTCCCATCGAATTCAGATTAGGTTAGGACACGTATTGCGCATGCCATCGTCTGCCGCACCGCGCTTTATTCGCAGTTGCCGCTCCAGGTTGGAAGAAACCGCGTGGAGGTCAACAGATCACGTAGAAGCGAGGCATGAAGAAATGTACAGAGCGATTAGGTAGAGGTGTCTTACGCCATCCAGGTTGGGGTCCGAAAGACTCCACAACCGGTTGCTTGAAGACATTGAAGGATATGACAGCGAACCGACAGCAGTGGCGTTCTTGTTGTCATTTCTTAACAGGTCAGAATGCTTGAAAAGGTATGTATAAATACTTAGATTGTGTACTCTGTGTTGAACATAGAGGTTCTTTTTCTTTGCCTGCCTCCAATTAGGTCCAATCCCGCTCCATCTTGTGCTTTATCATTTGATTTGTGTACATTGTGAGCTTGGCAGCGATCGGTGAAGTTCGCTTCACGATGATGACGATGACCAAAGGTGTTTCAGTCCTGCGTAAACGGCTCGAGTATTGGAAGTGTGGGAGGTCATCTCCTTTGCTGCACTAGGATCATTAGTCACACAACTACCTAAGTAGGAAAAGCAATCCACTATAACGAATTTCTGAACACTTAGTTTCAGGGCGGGACTAGTCGACATCCAGCCCTGCAGCATGACTTCGCAATGTGAAGATGCAAAGTACATGTGGTAACAGCATTTAACAGTCCGTCAAGTGCGCTCTGTACGTCCACCATACATTCGAATAGACAGGCGATGTCATCAACGCATTTTTAATCACACAGCATTACTCCGGTGGCCCCTTCAACGTCAAACACGGTTTTGAAGCCGGTTTATTCTTTCCAAAGATGATGTACTTCAGTATGCATTCACACACGTGTGAATCCAGAATGTGCCAAACAAATCACAGTAGAATAATCTGTATGAAAAAGAGAATGTCCCACGATTTGTTTGTGGGAGGAATACTGCCAGGTTTCCCAGTCCGAGGCAGGTGAGTTTTCTTGAGGAATCTACAACCATCACGACGAGACTGCACCTTGACGTGGTGTGATGGCTTGCGTGCCTCCATGACCCTGCGAGCTACACAGGATGGCTTTTCACAGCCGTAGATCCAATCATACCTAAAAGGTCAACGGGTAGAGGCCAGACGAAGCTCAGTCTCACAAGCCAGCAGCTTGGGCACCCCCTGGCTTCTTTCTTCTATCCACATCCGCCCCTGGAGAGGTCGCTCCAGTAAATAAACACGATGAGGAGCAGTTTACCGGTCAAAAAACCCCGCTAGATGGACGTAGGAGCGGGGTACCTGGGGCTTCCTCTCGACGGTGGGAGAAGTCTTCGCACTTCATTGGACAGCTACCGCCCGCCCAAGCTGGGCAGCCCCCAGCCAATAAGGTGCTGTCCCGTCCACGTCCCGCTTGTCTCATTGGGTGCATGAGGCTGAGGGCTGATCCCGAAAAGCGGACCGAAAATCAACGCACTGAACCGAAATTCAGAGGCCTTGCGTGACAGGTCTCCAGAAGCTCCCACACGGGTGCTTCGTTCACGCTCCCGCGTTGGATTTACGCCCCACTGCCTTGTGGGTCAGACTTTTGAGTCAAAGGCTCCGGTTAGGGTTCCCAAAGAAAAACCCCTTCGTCGGTGTGGGCTACCGTGAAGTACGCCGTGCCCTAAAGTCTCAGGCACCCATTCGGAAAACCATCTTTCCCATCTGTCTAGTCCTTCTCAATCCCGAATATTCCCAGGTGCCTCCTGCTTACGAGACCCATCGCAATCTACAACCAGAGCCTTCGGTTATCCAAAGCCTTACCCGTAAGGCAGTGGGTAGTGTATGAAAACCGCAAATTAATGACGGCCCGCGTTCAGTGCGTCGGAACATACGCCCTTCGGACGGGGTCAAACATCGATGCTCATTCGAGCCAAAAGCTGTTGAAACCAAGATCCGGGTGAATGTGGTTCGCACTCCTTTGCTTGTCTGGTTTGGAATCAGGGTTTTTAGCCAACTCCCCTAGATAAACTGCCAGTGGTTCACGAACCCGGTTATAGCCCCAGAAAACAAAACCGGCGCACGAAAGTGCATGGTTAATGGTTGTAAAAAACTGAAACTATAGCCCCAGATATTGGCCTTGGTAGAAAAACACCGCCACGAGAAGGCGGTGAGTAGGGTTCCTCAGCAAGGGCAGTTGAAGATGCCTGGTTGTATAGGAGAATTTCGGGAGGGGCAAGGGGAGGGTGATCAGCCACAACAAAAGACACTAACCTAACCATACTGAGGCTCCCGGATGACGATGATCGTGGTAACGATTGTATTGAGTAAATGAGAGTGGCAGTAAATTCACAGACGTGATTATGTTCAGGATTGTTAACTGCTTAACAATAAACCACAAGATGCTTTCCGAATTGGTGAAAAGATCTCAGAGTACTTTTCATAAACCAAACTAAAAAAATTCTATTTGCGTATTATGGAAAGTGTTGTGGGATCGAAGAATTAATGTAATGATTGTAGGAATTTTAAATATCTTTGGTAAGGATGAGTGAGGTTCGTTTCACTGTATTTCGCTGTACGCTGATGATGATGACTGCTATCGGTTCGTTGCCAAATCTTTCAATGTCTCCAAGCAACCGGTTGTGGAGTTTTACGGACCTCAACCTGGAAGGCTTAAGACACCTCTACCTAATCGCTCTGTGCATTCCTTCATGCCATGCTTCCACGTGATCTGTTGACCTCCACGTGGTTTTCTCCAGCCCGGATTGGCTACAGCGAATAAAGCGCGGTGCGGGAGACGATAGCTGGGCATACACAATACGTGTCCTAACCAGCGAAGTCTTTTAATCTGAATTCGGTGTACCAGCAGGTTTATACCTGAAAAACTCCCAAACACGCGACAGCTTACCTTCACGTTACGAACCCGTTCGCTCCATCCAACACGGACTAAACTACGTAAACACCGATGATCGAAATTTCTAGTCTATGGATATCTACTCGTAAATCCAAAGTCGCACTACCATAAAACAGAACTGAACGGACGGTGCGGCATTTCTTTTGAACGGACCCCATCAGAGCTTCCCGGTCAACTGAGTCGAAGGCTTCTTTCAGGTTAAGGAACACTGCCGACAGTGGGCGTGACGCAGTCCAAGGACCTGACGAAACGTAAAACTTTGATCAGTACATCCACAGCCGGGCCGGAATTCGGCTTGCTGTTCACGGATGTTGGTCTCTCTTAAAGGCGTCAGACGGCGAAATATAACCGAAGCTAGCTACCACTTTGGTGACGATCGGGATCAAACTTATCGCGCGATGATTTTCGTTGCAAGATCCTTTTTTGAAACTGGGAATCCGTGGTTCGCCCCAGAATGAAGGAATTCTCTCTTGCTTTCAAATGTTGCGCAGTAGGGTAGTGACAGAGCTTACGAGGTTATCACTCCCCAGCTTGAAAAGGGAGGGAGCTCATCAGGTCATGCTGCCTTTCCTCGCTTCAGAGCTTGAATGCAAGACCGAACTTCTGCTTCCGTTGGAGGATCGCATGACATTGCCCATGGAGCATCAGTGGAAGATGAAGCAACCTGGTTAGCTCTTGGCCAGCTGAACTGTTCGCTGAAGTATTCTGCCTAGCGATCGAGTCGTTGATCGTTATTGTGAATAGTTCGTCCCCTCTTATCGCAGACTGTTTCACTAACTGGGGTTCGCCGACCTTCCGTATTGCGTATCAGTCGAAAAAGTTTTTGAGCACTACTTCGATTGTTGCCCACCATTTCTCACGGTACTTCTTGAGGTTCTTCGTGAGCGGACGTTGTAGATGCCGCCTAACTCTATTTTGATCCTGGCAGGTCGGGACTTTACGTTTTTACTCTATCAGGACTACTGACTCCTGATACATCCAATGCCTCCGATGGGTTTGAGGCTCATACCTACAAGCAACATTCGCTGCGGAATACATTGCTCGCCTAATCTGACCCCACTGCTCGTCTACATCACCACGCTGAAGCGCACTTAGACCACGCACTAGCTCTGACTCATAGAGTGCACGAACGGCTGGAACAGGTAGTCGATGATGAGCTATACGGGTTTCCTGGTTTTGTCTCCGACCAGGCAGTTGGAGGGTGAACTGCATCAATACTAATACGTGGTGAGACTCATCGCAGGTGATCCAACAGGACCTGCAATTTTGCACTGAGTCACGACAACGGTAACTTACTGCGATGTGGTCGATTTGAGTTAGCGTACCTGTTGAACTGGAGCGCCACGTTGCCGTCCGTCGAGAGCTGTCGGAAATTGGTGCTTGATAGGAACAGATGATGGTCTGCGCAGACCTGAATAAGTCGATCGCCGTTATCTGTTAGTTGGCAGGGCAGAGCACAACTACCGCCTGGGCAAGCTTCTGGTGCGCTCAGTTTTCCAACTTGTGCGTTGAAGTCATCTGCAAATACAACTATGTCGGAGCTTCGACTCATCCGAATGAGATCGGTGAGTTCATTGAAGAAAGCGTTCTTTTGGGTATCAAAACTGCAATTGGTCGGTGCATATGCTGATACGATAA